ACTCTATCCGTTTATGGGATGTTAAGACAGGATAATAAAAAGCCAAATTAGATGGTCATTCAAACAGTGTTTATTCGATTTGTTACTCTCCTGATGGTACTAAATTAGCATCTGGTAGTTCAGATAAGTCTATCCGTTTATGGGATGTTTAAACAGGATTATAAAAAGCCAAATTAGATGGTCATTCAGATTATGTAAGAACAATTTGTTACTCTCCTAATAATACATTAGCGTCTGGTGGTGATGATAAGTCTATCCGTGTATGGGATGTTAAGATAGGATAATAAAAAGCCAAATTATATAGTCATTCAGATTATGCAGTTAATTCAATTTGTTACTCTCCTGATGGTAATACATTAGCATCTGGTAATTCAGATAACTCTATCCGTTTATGGGATGTTAAGACAGGATAATAAAAAGCCAAATTAGATGGTCATTCTAATTGTGCTATGTCAGTCAATTTCTCTCTTGAAGGAACTAAATTAGCATCTGGTAGTTATTTTTAGTCTATCCGTTTATGGGACGTTAAGACAGGATAATAAAAAGCCAAATCAGATGGTCATTCAAATGCAGTTAATTCAATTTCTTACTCTCCTGATGGTACTACATTAGCATCTGGTAGTTCAGATAACTCTACCCGTTTATTGGATGTTAAGACAGGATAATAAAAAGCCAAATTAGATGGTCATTCAGATTATGTAAGAACAATTTGCTACTCTCCTGATGGTAATACATTAGCATCTGGTAGTGATGATAAGTCGATCCGTTTATGGGATGTTAAGACAGGATAATAAATCTTATCTTCAGATAATCGTTACAAAGATCTTTTAGCTTAATTATCACCTCAAATGTTAAACAACAACCCTCTTCTAAAAAATGGTATATATGTTTTATTATTTTTTAGTGAATTCTTGTGTTACTATCCTTCTAATATCACAATAGTTAATATTTTAATCATAGGGTGCTCTAATTTTGAAAGGAGGATTTATTAATCAATCAGGCATTGATTTGAATATGTTATTTTATTAAAGAGGTAGCTGCATTTTAGAAACCCAAGTTGGATAGCAAAAAAAAAAAATTTGATTATTATAACAATACATGCATTTACACATTAATATATTTTCAGAAATTGATTATCCTAAGTTTATTCTTGTCTCTCTCTCTTTCACTTCTAAAAATTTAAAACAAAAAATTAATAATGATGAGTTCATCGTAGTGAGGTATTTAGAATTAAGTTGTTCTGATAACAATTGGACTTTTTTTATAGTAAAAGAAAAAGTAATAAATAGTTTTATTTTTTAAAAGGAGGGACTGTTGCTAGGAGGGTACAATGTATGGGTGTTGATAGAGGATGATGAAATCTACTCCTGAAGTTTCCAGCCATACAGAGGCATTTTTTAGAATCGATGTTATAAGTAACAAATTAGATTCTTACTTGTTTCAAAGATGGGTTCCTTTTTTTAGACATAATTAGAGTAGTGAGGTAAGTTGCCATTAGAGGTCACATACGAAAGCCTTACACCTCTTTATTTTATTAAGTTAATTAATTGATAATTAATTATCTATTCATTTATTGCTTAACTTAACCTTTAAAAAAACTTCGACCTCAAGAATCTTGTACTTCGCCATTTCGCCATTTCTCCAATTTCAAATTTTAGTAGTTTTTATCGAAAGCCTCTATTAAAATTATGAAATTACTATTAATAAAATAAAGGCAACCTCGAGAGGTGAGATTAAAAAGCTTGAATAATTAGTTAGGAAATGGCTTGTCTTGGATTAACCCAAAACATCTTTAGTGTTTTGTTTCAAATACCATTATAAATTTTTCACTATTTCTATTGCCCTAAGTTTTGGCAAGAAATCTCTGCATCTATTTTATGTTTAGTTTTCATCCATGATTTCTAAAACTTTCTTAATAAGTAACGTCTAAAAGGTTCTTAAATTCTTAATTACAAAGCAGCCTATTGAATAAATTAATATAAATACCTATCTTCTTCCATTCTTAAACTGGGAATATCGAACTGCAGATCCCCCTTGTAATTTAATATATTGCGGAAGCTTCTTTGAAATCTTTTTATTCCTCTTTAAAATTAGTACTGTGTGTATCATATTCATAGTCTTTACTTTATCAATTTCAAATTAATTTCATTCTACGTTTAGAGAAGAGATAGGAATTAAGTTTAGCGTTTATATATTTCAAATCTTTTTATTAAATTAGGTGTAATAATTCTAGTATTATATTAGGAAGTTTTCTACATAAAATTTTCTATTTATGATCGCTATAAGGAACTCAGATTGGTTCGTTTTAATTTCCTATTAAATTTGATATTATTCAGATATTTTTTTTTATTTATTTTACCTTTAAGTTATTGGCCAAATACAATTGTGTTTGATTATAGTATGTTGAGTTTATACGTCATTTATTAAGATCTTCATTAGTCTATTGTACTTAACATAATTTTTAGTCTTACTAAAAATTACATATGATTTTCTAATACCTTAATTGTTTCCTCACCTACATTAGGTAGTTGTCTATTTCTGTTAGTAAACAATTTCTCAATATTTCAACTCATTGACACGAGCCAAATGATTTTCTCATTAAGTACTTGTTATTTTACTTATTCCATTAATGAATTATCACATTCTAAATTCAAATCAAACATACTTTTAATTCCACATTAATAAATTATAATAATTTTGGTCTTCAGCACGAGAAAAGGTAAATTAGCAGTATTGATTCTTTAAATTCCTTTTATAATTCAAAATATTGCCTGTAAATTATTATGGCGAATATTTATTTTTTAAAGAAAAAATAATATAAAAAATTTAAATCAATTTTTATCTACATTTCTAAGGATTATTAAAAGTTTTCTCTAATTGACCACTTATTGGTTAAGATACAACTAATGCGATCAAAATCTCTCTATTCCTTAAAGCTTATGTTTGTAAAAGTCTAGTGGATGTGTCCGTCATATTGTCTTATTACATTTTCCTTTATAAGAGGCAAAATTGCATAACGTAAATCCTCAAGACTTCAAATTTGTTTTGAATATCCTTGTTCTATATATCCCTACTACGACCTATATATCATGAGGTATAATGTCGATATTAAGGTTAATTGAAGAAAACGAAGAATATTTTTGGAATAACATAGAATAGCAAATCATTGAATTATATCAAACCTCAAGGAATAACATGTATCTTAGTAACAAATAAATTACGATGAAATATTAGTGTAAATAAATATTTGCTTTGAACGCGATTTTATCTCAGGTTCATATGACGAAATTGAGTAACTCAAATTTTCCTCTTGTGTTTCAAAAGCTATGATAGATTAAAAAGTAGCTATGGGTCAAGATAATAAGAAGGTAAACTGTAATAAGTAAAGTAGGGTAATGTTTTGTAAGGACCGATTTTAAAATAGGAATCAAATTATAAAAAAGGAAACAAGATCCGATTGCAATTGAAAGACATCCAAAAATATTGATTATTGTTATAACAATTGCAGAGATATATAAACATGAAACTTAGGTTTTGAAGAAAACATCAAAAAAATTCCTTAGGAGTGGAAAATGCTTAATAATATAAATCTAATAAAAAGAATGAACCAAGAATATTTAAATTAATTTCTAATAAATATCAGATTAATTGTATCATCCTTAGTTTCTACTGCAAAATGGATAAAAAACGTTGTATTAATAATCTTAGAATTAATGACACATATATAATAATTTGTTAAAATTATTTGGATTTTTAATAATAGAATTGTTAGGAAGAGAGTGATTTTTTGAAATAATAAATTTAATATAGAGAGAGAACATGCATTAATATTAAGATGAATAAATAGAAATAGGAATAAATATTATAATTTTATTGAAGTGCATAAAATTTAACATAATTTTTAGTTTTGGAACAATCTAACGAAAGGAATAATTATATTTTAATATTGGAATATTCATTGTTTCAATGTCTGTTCACAAAATTCTAGATTCACAAAAGACAAATACCTTTTCTATTTTTGGTCCATTAATCATTTGGTTAAACCGGTAAATTTTTTGATAATATATCAGAGCATCTTAGTATTTCTACTAATCTTGTAAGCATATTCCTGAATATTAATCAACATATCCCAATGCATTTAAGACTAAAATTGTCAGTAGGATTGAGGGAGAGTGCTTAATTGAGAACTTTTTCAGATTCATCATATTACTTAAATTGTCTTAAACAATCACCTATTAATATAAAGATGATGAAATCTACCTTTTTTACTTAAAGAAATAACATCTTTTGGATCCATAGTTAATGCTTTGTCCAACCAAGTGATTGCATCATCGTATTTACCTAACATCTTTATTTAATTAAATTTCTAATACTATTACAAACATGCACCTATTAAAATGACATTATTATTTAAACCTTTATAACTTAAAGACTCCTTATTATTATTAGGGTTAGCATCTCAACCTCAAATAGGAGATATTAAAACTTACAAAAAAAATTTATTCTTTTGGTCTTCGAATGATTTTGAATTGTAAATTTGTGATTAATTTTATTTCAGAACTAAATTCAAAAAAGACTTACATTCAAATGAGCTTTAAAATTATGTTTTCTAATATTTTTCAAATAGCAACATTATTGGAACGATCTTCAATATTGTGAGAAACAAAGAGTAAAAATTAATTTTTTAATAGTATTGGACCAGAAGATTCTAAGGGGAGATTGTATAATAAAATAGATTTAAAATTTAAAGCCTTATTTACACAAAAGAGGGTCATAACGAATAATAACAGAGAGCAAGTTATGAGGAAAGGAGGTTGTGAATAGATTGAGGAATAATGCTTGAAGTAGATTAGGAACAAATTAGAGAATATTCATATTAAAGTAAAAGGTTCTGGAGACAATTTATTACAGTGGAATGCTTGAAGCCATTAACAAAGACTTACCATAATTTATGAGTAAATTTAGATGTTGTCATTATAAAAAGGTATAAATCAGTCAGAATAGGAGATATTATTAAAAATTAGGCCAGTAGTATAAAGAAAAATGAGGTTCACGATTGATTATGATCAAATGTAAAAGAGATGAAATTTTAGATAAATTGCTACTATCAGTTAAAAAGGAGGTTATTATTTTATTATTTTTCTTGGTTCATTTGGTTTTTGAAAATTTGAATGCTTTTAAAATTCGTTTGATCAATAAGAATAAGAGGTTTAACTTTGCATAATTTTGAGTTTAGAATGTCTAAAATGGTCCCTAAATCTAATTGAAGATAAGGTAAGGAGTTTATAATTTTAAAAATCTACAAAAGAGATCTTTTAGTAAATATAATTTAGCAACTTATCATTTTAGTAATCTCTTAGTTTCATAACTTTGTAAAGATATTCAGATTAATAGAAAATGAGAACATTTTTATATGCTATTCGTCAACTTCTAATCTCATATTTTCATTTAAATGAAAAAGTTTAATTGTATCTCAAGCGATGAAGATGTGGAATTCAACTCTAATTAAATATTCAAATTATGTGATGACATGTTAAAAGACTAATAAGCCGAATCAATTAACATAAGAGAAAATTGAGATAGCTTCAAAAATTTTACATAATATGCTGATTTCTTGCTAATTGAGCCTAAAATTTAATAGTAATCGAAACAAGAATGAAGTTTCGATTAAATCGCATTAAGATTTTACCTGCATAACTAATTTTAAGGTGCTCTTCTAATAAATTTAATGAAAAAGTTCGATAATCTACTCTACAAGAACAAAGATCCTTTTAAGAAAATTTATTTGTATAAAAGTCACAATTAATTAATGAGATTGATATTTATCTATTATTGATCAAAATATAAAAATAAAAAAGTTTTAATATGACTATTATACATATTCCCTTCCTATAAATCATAGTAAAACCAAAAAATAGCATGTTCCAGGTTACTCCCACAGATTCGCTTTTAGTACATGTTAATAAGACTACTTGCTTAAACATTAAAGGAGATAATTAAACTAAACAATGTTATTAAGATGTTGGAGGCAAGTGTAAAATGAAAGATTGCACTGATAATACTGATAGTTAAGCTCACTCAGATTGCAATGCATTATTACCAGAATTAATGTGCTAAAAAGGGAACTGGATGTATACCTAAGACCTCATTATGGTAGCATATTCAGGAGCAACTGATGATTGTTTACCATTTACTACAAATACAGGATCAGATATATGCACAAGATCAGAAACCTGTGTATCAAAAACTACTACATGCAGTTTAAATCCAGAAGCAACTGGAATAAAAATTGCTTATTATATCATGCTGATTATAGATTTAAATTTGGAAACACTGATTGTAACTATATATTGACTGGTCCTAAGGACAATCTTAAGTAGACATAGTTGAAATTCAGTTACAACATACTCAGCTGGTTATGTAGTTATAATATAGGTGTAACAGGTACATGTTCTGTTGTAGCATGCAATCTATGAGTAAGTGGATTGACTAATATTTCATGTGAAAATTACAATGGAAAAGCTTCATGTAAATTAAAAGCTACTGTATATTATGTTCCTTTAGCCTTATGTGCTTCATACACAATACGAATGGTACAACAGATAAATTAGCATGGTGTATCATTTATCTTACCATACTGTAATTGCAATAAAAGATTGGATGATGGATTATGCTAATTTGCAAATAACAAATGTATTACTACTAGAACAGCATGTATCGGTTATTCATTAACTGAAATTACATCAGGTTAAGCTACCTATTGTTCTGACTTGAGATCAGGTAATTCTGGAACCGTTAAACAATTTGCAAATATTTCAGCAACATCTCCAACTAATTGTTTTAATGCAGTTGTATTAATTATTCCTTCATATAATGATCCAGCTGTTATCGATGTTGAAGCTAGTAATACAATTTCATCACCTACATCAGAAGAAGATTTTAATTAGGAACTGGAAGTTGTAAATAGTATTCAGAAGCATGTTATGCTAGAGTTGTATATGCAAGTTATACTATTCCTTCTTTATAATCTGGAGATGATAAGTAATACTTTTGTTAGAATATATTTGATGATTCAGAATATACTTACCTGTGCTGTTGGCAAAACTGCTTGTACTGAATATAGTGGTTCAAGGTAGTTCATGATTTTGCTAACTAACAATTCTCATACACAATTTTCATTAATATTAATAGTATAAATTTCAGATCATTTAGAATGAAATTAGATAACTTCCAAGGTGCTTGAATTCTATTTTTAATATGTTCAAAGTCTTATCCATCTATACAGCATTATTTCAGTATTTTCTTAGTTGAACTTTAGCTTGTGTTGAATATCTGCAAACAATACTAAAATATTATTATTAATCTTTGATCAACTTGTTTGAAATTTAGTGTGTAATATTTATGGTATAAAAAAGTAGACTATTAAACATAAGCATGTCGTTAGATTACCCTTATAAAAGAATTTTCAATAAGAAAATGTTCTATTATAGGAAAATCAAAATTTATCAAATGAATGTTTAGGTAATATTGGTAGAATATAAAGAGTTGAAAAATAATTCAAAAATATTTGAAAGATGTAGATGTAGAGTGGCCAGAATACAAACAAATTGTCTATCAACATAAACTGTAGTGTATTTTTTTTATCACAAAAGTAGTCCTCGATAGTCATAGATATCTGTTATAGAATTAAAATATTTCTATTTGAATAAATATTGTGAAAGCAGTTTTGGATAGAATTAAGATTAATGTCTTACTTGTAATTCAGATTTCCATAGATCAATAGATGGCTTTCGATGTGAGTGTATAATTGGTTTTTCTGGTGATGGAATTGAAATAGAGTATAGCTAACATGTGGAGATTAATTGATAGTAATGAAGAAGATTGAGATAATCGTAATATTAATTCATCTTGTGGGTATGGACAGTGTAGGCGTGCTTGTTAAGAAGAATTTTTGAATAGTCTTCAAGGTAAATATTATTAATGTAAAGATGGATAAACTATTAAAACCTATTTATAGGTGCTTACAAAACAGGTGGAAATATGATGATTTAAGGAGGTGAATAATTTTATAATGGCAATGGTATTAATTATGATGGATATAATCTTTGTAAACTGATATGCGATTTCATTATATTAATTGTTGTTTGAAAAAGTAATAGTAATTGCTAACATGTACAATTTTCAACAATCACTAACATGTACAATTGGAATATGCTATGAAATGGCAAAATCAGATATAGATGATGAATAGTATTAAAATGAAAGTATAATTTTTTTGTTCCGATTATTGTAATATTTGATAAGGTCGAGATGTTTTTCTGGTGTGCTAACAATATTTTTAGAAATGTAATTTGTTTTCTATTCCTATTTGATGTGATGGAGATATCATTCCTCGCCTTGAAAAATGTGAATAAGGAAACGATAGATATATCATTTGATATCATGTTCTTAAGACTGTATTAATGTGAAGAAATGAATAAATGTAGAAAATGTGATAGTAAATAATTTCAATCAGATATATCAACTTCTAAGTGTCTTATCAATGATAAATTATAAATAATCAATAAGCTTGATAATTTAGCTTCCTTTTTGTTTATATAACTTAGATTAGATGTGATATAATTAAATCCTTATTGACAATGATTGTATTAATTAATGCGGTTACGGTGTTGTAAATATAAGTTATTAAACATTTAATGATGGCAATAATCAAGGAGGAAACGGATGTTTATATACCTGTACTATTATAGATTAATATCAACGTGAAATTAGAATTGACTTATTAAGTTAATGCACTTACATCGTAGCTCCTGATTTCAATTTGGTCATCCTTTCGGATAATATGAACTCAAAATAAATTATTGAACTCTCCTTCTCTATATAAGTTCAACTAATAACTTATAATCCATTTTAAGATTTAGCTTTATTCAATTTTGTGTCTCATACTAAAGTTGATTTCATCATCAATTCGATCTAGAATTTAACTACCAATCTAAATTATCCAAGCCTTTATTGAACTTGTTTAATGCCCATCTTTTGAAATTTAATTAGCTAAATATATCATCCTAAAAGAATTATATTTAGATTTATAAAATACACCATATGAATTAATCTGGGAAACCCGATTTGTATCATCTGAAAATACATAGGCTAAACTGAAATCTATTGTTAAGATGAATAATGTTACTATATACTCTATGATAGGCATTCCAAGCTTAGCTATTATTACTGGAAATACGGTAATGTTGTTAATCTCATAGTTTTTTTTATAATCATTATTGGCAAATTAAGGCGCATATAGAGAGAATATCGTGAAGATTTTATTCTAGCTATAGTAAACAAATATCTTTCAATAAGTTGTTGTATAAATCTAAGTTATTTTTTCATACAATTTCTCTTTAACAAATATAGTTTAACTCAACACTAAGATTAGTATCCACCTCTTTTAATAGAATTTTAGAATACATATACTAAAATTCACTACAACCCATATTAGATCACTTCAAATTAAATGAATTATTCATGAAATTATATTGAGGAACTACCCTTTTCAAAATAAAAAATTTAAAACATAATATTCTAATGCTTTATCAATTATTTTTGTTGAATGCCTAAAGGTGTTATTGTTCTACAATCACTTGAGTTTATTTACATTTTACATTTTGCTTTCTATCTTCAAATAAATTTAATTAAATAATCTTTAACCATTATTAAAAATAAAAATTGAATGGAAGATTTCTTAAACTAAAAATATTTTCTCATTGCCATTTGTAGCTTATTAGTTATTTATATAACAAGTTTACAATCGTTTTCTATTATCTATTCACATATTAATGATAAATAATATGGAAATAATTTACAAATATTCAAAAATATAATCTTTGGCTGTCAAACATAAACCCTATATTTATAAAACTAAATATTTATTATCGTTTGTATTTATAGTATACCCATGCAATTATCTTATCACCTTATATACTTGATTAGGTGTAAACCCTTAAAAAAACCTTACAAAGAAAGTAAGCTAAAATATAGAGAATTCCTGTTTTTTTTAATCACAGGATCATTCTTGATTTATACTTTTGAGCTTAGCTACGGCATATATCTGTTATTTTGGTGGATGTATATTGGACTGATTTCATTAATGTTAAGTATTAATTTAATTCTAGACTTATGTTGTCTCTATCCAATGTGCAATTACTTAACAAATCAAACAAATTTTTTTACCTCATTTAATTAAGTATACACCACAACTGTAATAAAAGATTAATTAGAAATAAGCATAAATTTATGTAAATAAATAATGAGATAAACTTTTCTCAAATTCTTCAATGTTCTTTTGCATCTTAAACATTTGATTTAGATATCAAAGAATGTAAAATTCCTCAAGGGAATTTGGCGTAATTGTTTGAGTCCATCATGAATAGGATTATGTTAGTGGTAGATATCCACCAAAAAATTTCTATTTTCTTTCCCAACATTTATAGCTTTACAATATTAGTATTGAAGGTGAAAATATTTCATAGGTTTAGGACTGAAAAAAGTAAAGAACCATAAATAGAATAGTTAAGCTTTAAATTCTANTAGGCATTCCAAGCTTAGCTATTATTACTGGAAATACGGTAATGTTGTTAATCTCATAGTTTTTTTTATAATCATTATTGGCAAATTAAGGCGCATATAGAGAGAATATCGTGAAGATTTTATTCTAGCTATAGTAAACAAATATCTTTCAATAAGTTGTTGTATAAATCTAAGTTATTTTTTCATACAATTTCTCTTTAACAAATATAGTTTAACTCAACACTAAGATTAGTATCCACCTCTTTTAATAGAATTTTAGAATACATATACTAAAATTCACTACAACCCATATTAGATCACTTCAAATTAAATGAATTATTCATGAAATTATATTGAGGAACTACCCTTTTCAAAATAAAAAATTTAAAACATAATATTCTAATGCTTTATCAATTATTTTTGTTGAATGCCTAAAGGTGTTATTGTTCTACAATCACTTGAGTTTATTTACATTTTACATTTTGCTTTCTATCTTCAAATAAATTTAATTAAATAATCTTTAACCATTATTAAAAATAAAAATTGAATGGAAGATTTCTTAAACTAAAAATATTTTCTCATTGCCATTTGTAGCTTATTAGTTATTTATATAACAAGTTTACAATCGTTTTCTATTATCTATTCACATATTAATGATAAATAATATGGAAATAATTTACAAATATTCAAAAATATAATCTTTGGCTGTCAAACATAAACCCTATATTTATAAAACTAAATATTTATTATCGTTTGTATTTATAGTATACCCATGCAATTATCTTATCACCTTATATACTTGATTAGGTGTAAACCCTTAAAAAAACCTTACAAAGAAAGTAAGCTAAAATATAGAGAATTCCTGTTTTTTTTAATCACAGGATCATTCTTGATTTATACTTTTGAGCTTAGCTACGGCATATATCTGTTATTTTGGTGGATGTATATTGGACTGATTTCATTAATGTTAAGTATTAATTTAATTCTAGACTTATGTTGTCTCTATCCAATGTGCAATTACTTAACAAATCAAACAAATTTTTTTACCTCATTTAATTAAGTATACACCACAACTGTAATAAAAGATTAATTAGAAATAAGCATAAATTTATGTAAATAAATAATGAGATAAACTTTTCTCAAATTCTTCAATGTTCTTTTGCATCTTAAACATTTGATTTAGATATCAAAGAATGTAAAATTCCTCAAGGGAATTTGGCGTAATTGTTTGAGTCCATCATGAATAGGATTATGTTAGTGGTAGATATCCACCAAAAAATTTCTATTTTCTTTCCCAACATTTATAGCTTTACAATATTAGTATTGAAGGTGAAAATATTTCATAGGTTTAGGACTGAAAAAAGTAAAGAACCATAAATAGAATAGTTAAGCTTTAAATTCTAGAAATCTAATCTTAAACTTTATTAATATTTATATGTAAAATATTGCATAACAATCAAATCAAGAAAAAGAAGCTAACTAAAAATTGTAAAAAACAAATAGACCCACATCTAGCAGGAGATGCAAGTAGTATAAGGATTGGCAAAAACAAAAGAAATTTCTTGAGAAGTAAAGGTAAATGCTGAAGAAGGTGAAAGAGAAGTTAGAGAAGTAAAATTAGTAATTGGAGTCTCCAAAGTCTGATGAGAATGACAGTTTTGAGTCTGATGAGATTTTTTAAAGGCCTTGTTTATTTTATACATTAATGTGCACAGGAATGAATGGAAATGATTTTGAATTCTTGGCTCTAACAGATTTGAAACTTGATCTAATTAAGGAAGCTATAACAGAATAAAACAAATGAGAGAATAAAAAATATAATATTAAATAATGAACTATAGATCTTATTTGTGAATCATTTTTCAATAGATATTATTCCTAATCTCTATGTATCATAAATCTTAAATACTCTAGAATAAAATTTGATGTTCTCAAACCTTCAATTTAATTGGAAAAATTATCTTGATAATTATATATTAAAAGAATTATTTCTTTTATTTTTAGTAAAAAACAAAACAGATATTAATTACTTTGATTTTATTGGACTTAATCTATAAAACTCGGAGATTGAATAGATTAGAATTATGAATTTAATAAATTGGAAAAGTTATCTAACAAAGAAGAGATGAACCAATATGATAGGTTAAAATAGTTAAGGAATAAAATCGCGATATAAAGACTTCACCAAATTCAAATCATGGCTGATTAGAAAAAGAATTGCTTCTTTATTTTTTTATAAAGAATGGCTTTCTTAATATGAAATTTGAATTATTTACTTAATTCTTCTTCAATTATTGATTCTCGTAAACTTATTGAGATCAATTTATTTCAAAAGTGTTCCAAATTCTAAATAATAAAGTTCGTTAACTTATTTAATATAATGATTATGTATTCGCAATAATCATTGGAAGATAATACTATTTGAACACTCTAGAAAAAACAAAGCGAGGTTTAATTTACTTACTTTTGGTTCTTCATACACAACAAAATTATTTTACTTTTAAAGTTTAATATTTAGAATAATGTATACACTAAAAGGTAAGCTTAAAGGTTGAGCATAGAAATTTGATATGACTTATATTTAATTTTAACTCAAAGAATTAAGGATAATTGAGAATAGCATCCAAAATTTTTGTTTATCAATACTATAGTGTAACTATCATCACAAACAATGCACGTAAATGTTGAATTAACAAAGCCACATTATTACCCAAGATGATATCAAGTATTGTTAAATTAAAAATTTAATGATTCATGATTTATAACTAAAATGAAGATATGATAGAATTATCTTTAATATAAAATTAAGTTTTTAAATTTTCCTTACCATTAGTTTTGTCCTATTTCTTGAGATTAAGAATTTAAATTTAATTCAAGGGAAGAATACTTAAGCAACAGCAATATACCAAGTATAAATATGAGATAAAATGTTCAAAATTAATAATAGTGTTTCAGGTTTCCTAAATTTTACTATAATGCTGATTTCTCCACATCTTAATATTATAAATTTAATAATTTTGTTTGTTTACCCTAGAATTTTATTTTTATTTTACTATGTTGAAAAGACATTATTACGTATTAAAATTACTTTTACCAGAATGTTCTATTTCAACCGATAAGACTAGATAAAATGCTTTTAATGATATTTCAATATTTTAAATCATACTATTAATGATGTTTTTCAAAAATGAATTAGATACCTTTAGTACCAAAATAAATTTAAAAATGTAAATTTCTTCAGCACAGTTCCAATCGCTTTGATAGTTCTTTTCTCTAGTTTTTCTTTTTAGATTCTGTTCCAGTAGGCTTAGATTTGAATTCTAATTGCTATGGATTTGATCATTTTTTTGAAATTATTCAAAAACTACAATAGATCTTAATATTGTTGTTAGATTTTTTGTTTAAGAATAGTTATGAAATATATTGATCTACTACTTTAGTGTTTATTAATAAGGGGAGTTTTCTTAAAAGAGTGATAAACAAGTATCTTTAGAGCAGACTTATATTTTCAATATAATTCATATAAACCATTTGAGTTAGATCTCTAAGCTTTTCAATCCTAGACAGAATTAATATATTTTTTTGTTTAGATCATTTTAATTTTTGAGTTTATTAATTCAAAAAGGTTGAAATATACTTTCCTTTCTCCATATCCGTATTAATTACATTTAAATGAGAATTTTAGTTATAATTATATAAATTGGGTTGACATTAATCGATAATTGACAAATATTTAATGCAACTTTCCCAGTATGCTACAATATATCAGGATAATTTTGGAAATTCTTAACATACTATTATGTTCAATAAATAGAAAGTTTTTAACAGTTTTTTCATTATTAATTTAATATATTTCAAATATAATCTATTATATTCTTTACAATTTTTAATGCATGATTATGTATACAGGAATACCATTTACATACTTTTCTTCATAAGCAGTATAATTTACTACTTTTACCATTTAAGAGAAACGGAAAATAATTATGCTCATCGATTGCCATCACTCCTTCGCAAACTTAGTTGATTAACAGTACTTAATTGAGTGTATAAAAATAATACAATTTCTATGAAGCCTTTCTGTCCAAAGAATCTTTTTACAAGTTCCTAGGCTTGCTTAATGTTATTAAAATTAATTTCAAATCGAGTACCCAATTATATTGAAAATTAACATAGTAAACTATAAATTATTCACAAATTTAAGATTGGAAAACGAGGATCCATCATAAGGGTCATTTTTTTTTTTAATTTATTTTAAACCAAAATCTAACTTTTGCTGTTAATATTTTATTTCGTTATGCAAACGATGCAAGACAAATATTAACTGTGAATTAATTATGAACTTGTAATTTATAAACTAACTATTTGCTTGAAAGCCTTGCAATCAGTTTCATTGTACTTATATGACAATAATAGTAATATCTTCTTATAAGAAGCAGAAGATTATGATATTTTACAAAATTCTATTCTAATTGAGTGCCAATATTAGAATTCGCCTACATCAATAATAAATTTCTGAATGGATAGTTGTTAATTAACGATTTTTCACGGTCGTTTTTTTCAAGCTTTTCCAAATTTGCCTTGCTAAGTCAGTATGAGTGCTGGACAATAATAATTTTAATGCTAATAAACAATTTCTGCCTGTTATTTATTCATACAACAAAGATTCATAGTAAAATAGATGTTATAAACTGGAAAATTAGTTAATAAGTTAGCTAAATTTTATCTAATTCTGTGAATAATTGAATCTAATTCTTAACTCAAGCAATAGGTAATATAGCTTTATCACAACTGATGCTAAGTAATCTGAATATGCCCTGATACTTACAACTTGATAAATAAGGATTGTCTTCCACAAGCACTTTTAATAGCATATTATTTTGCTTTGTACAAACACTGAAATAATGATTTGATTTAACGAGTCTCTTTTGGTTAGTATCAAAAATTTGTTTGACTTTAAATTTAGGTCTCCTAGAGTAGATTGTAACTGCCCAATAAATAGAGTTACCCCAATTAATCATTATGATCCTTATATTCCTATTCTAATTGTATCCGATTGTTTATCCAAATGAGATTTACAAATTCCATTCAATTTTGCTTTCCGAAATTTCATTGACCTTCATCTGAGTTTTAAGGTTCAAGACAAAATTCAATTGAGTTGTTAAAAATGGTTACCTTTTCATTAAGAAAGCAATGTTAAATAAATGTTAAGGGCATTCCTTACGATTATAAATATAAAAATAATCTAAGTTCCGACATATAGTCTATTGGCAATGACCTTTATGAAGAAATAGTTTTAATAGGATTTTTGCTGCTGGAAAAGGAATTGCTACTTTCAAACCGCTTGACTAAGATAGAAATCACTGTAAAATCTTGGTCTTTGAGAGTGAGTTAGTTATAAGCCAAATCATATTTAACTGGCAGGAATTACTGCTGTCCAAAAAGCTAAATAAAACTCATCTTTTTTAATATTACTCTACTAAAACACTTAATTTCTAAAGGATCTTTATGAATCAAATAAAATCAAACACTACTCAACAAATTATTATTTATAAATTAAATAAATCTCAAATATCATTGCTATGATCTTGGTCATATTTACTTTCGAAACAAACTGAATAATTAAATTTTTATGCAATAAAACGAATATTTTGAAAATTTTTGCTATATTTGAAATTTCTAATCCAAATATTTGTGATAAATCCTTATCATCATTTCTTTTTTACATCATGCAGTATACAATCTGTACCTATCAGAAGTGATTCAGATAGTTTAATTCTCTAAAGAATCGAAAAATAAATGAATCCCTCTTTAAACCTGTGATGTAACAACAATGAAACTTTACAGACAGTTCCTTGGTAAGACTAGTTATCTTGATTATTGCTGGTAAATTGCTCTTTCTTAATACTATTCTCTACTCATCTCTTTATAATAATTGTTGAGAGGGTGGTAGCAATTAGACTTGAAGAAGTTTTACAGAGCTCTCGACATTATTTAAATGGTAAACATATGCAGTCTAAACAGCATATATCAACTAAAATGCAGCAGCTTTACTGTGTTTAAATTTGCTTCCACACAAAAATAATGCTTATCATTCTAAAGGTAGTGCCTGCTCTATTATCGAAGTTATTATTAACTCGAATTCCATCCCTGATGATATTATGGCTCACCAATAATATTTAAATAGATACCATATATTATGGCCATCAGATGAAAATGTATGTTTGGACTGAGTTTATATAATTTATTTGCTTGAGGTTTGAGATAATAAGTCAAATAATAGAACTCCTACTATTAATCTAGTAACAAAAAATGCTTCAAAAGCACAACTATTGTGTTTAATATTAGAATTTCTCTTGTGCTGTTTTAATCACTTTGATAATCCTAAATATTTCAATTCTTGCGCTACACTCTATGTTTGATTACAATATATATCAACCTTGTAATACTGCTTATTCATTAATAATACTCATTTCTTTAGTTTAGGATTACAATGTATTATTTCAATCATATTACCTATAGCAGCTCTTAATGCACAATAATTAATTTAATCATCCTTTTATATCTTTTCATGTGATCCTACAGAAGTATGATTTCTTTTTGACTATGCATTAAATAACTGCTCTGAATTTATAAGTTTTCTTCTTACCTGCAACAGTGAGTTAATTCCTGGTTCATTTTTATCTATGGATATTTGCTATTCTACTACATAAAGCATTTGTTTGTAACTTCCCAATAAATGAGAAAGATATGCATGTATCTGCTCTATAGACTTTGTATGTTGATGGTGTGCTACCGCGATTGTTGCAAATATTGTGCTTCTTGATCATACTTAGAGAATGATCCAATTATATAGTTGCTTATGCTGCCTCTTCCTTTTAATAAACATTGATTTTAGGATGCTGTAAATTGTAATATATATTCAACATTAGTTACAACTTTGCAATTTATTCCTGATGTTAATTATGTAATTAATTTTCACTTTTGATCAATAGATAATCTTGCATGTATTGTAGCACATTAATTTGCATCACTAATTTTTTTTGTTTCATCACAAATACCTTCTCTAGATATCATCTTTGACTAACTCTCCTATAAGCTAATAAAGTTAAACTTTTAGTGTAAACTACTTGCTATAATCTTTATTTCATTTTTTCAATAAGAAGTCTAAAATAAATATGTTCTTTCTGAAACTATGCTTTTCTTAATGTTGGATATAATCTAAATTGAAATACTTATAACTCATGTATACTTTTCATGTTGAAGTTGATAAAAGAGAAAGACTGTGTTTGGAACAAACTTCCATTACTGGATCCAAACTTCAATATTCTTTTTTCACATTAAAATATTGATTAAAATTCCATATTAATCATTTTTTTCAAATAAAATTCCTCTCACTAACGAAACAGAAGTATTCGATAATTTGGTTTGGCATCTCCAAGAACTTTACATTTAGGCACACTGGTCCAATCATAGTTAGAAAAATAGGCACATATTTATCAGTAACCAGCAGGTTCTATAACTATTAGATGCCAAATTGAACTTCTGAAAATTCAAATATATTAGTCAGCAATTTTACAGTGAACCGAATTGATATTCAAAATCAATATTTTTGCTCCTATACTGGGCTAATAGAAAATCAAGGCATCCAAGATGGGAAATTATACACAATGAATGTTGATATCTGGAATTGATAATAGAGTCTGAGTTCACTAGCAAGTTTTGGTTTTAGATGATTTATTTGAATAATAAAAGTTTCCATTTTACACTAGTTATTTAAAACGGAGGTCATCGAAGCATTTAGTTTTGATTCATAGCTTGTTATTGATATTCTGAAATAATCCAAAAAATGATGAAAAAACCTCAAATTAAACAATCAAAGCTGATTTTGTGGACTATGAATTCTATCCTCAAGATGCTATTTATGGCTAATTCAAAGTTATTATATGATAGCAGTTGAATGGCAATTAATAGAATCAAGAGTATATTTAAACCCAGCCAAAAAAATATAAGTCTCTCTGTATAAAAATTATTAAGACAAAAAGACATTCCCAAACTTGATTGCATTAAAATTATGTAGGACAGAATAGTTAAATACTTTTCTGTGAAAGTCCTTAAAAACACTATGAAGTGCACTTTCATGATCCTCCCTTAAGCTTTAAAAAAGTGTCTTGATGCTTATTTCTTTTTTCTTAGATGAAGGACCATCTAAAAAGAATTCATTCTTGTTTCTTCCTATTATTCATGCTTTTGATATGATAGAATAAAAGAAACTGTGTTGTAGTTCTTAGTAGATAATTATTTCTTAAGAGAACCATAAGTGCTGCCATTGAATTAGTCGATAGGAGTCATTTTTCTAATTAACACGTAGGGTATTTAAACAATAAATGTATACACATTTAAACGAATACCTTTCAAAATCTCTCATTGATGAAAGTAGAGACTCCTCGTTTTTAATTTTAGGTTTCTGTTTTCTATTTGAGAATATCTACCATATCATTGTTTGTAACTAGCTATATTATTCCAACAGTATTAAAATGCATAACTCAAATTAATCAATAAAACTACTTGTAATTCATCCTGCAAGTGATTCTAAGATATAGAAATTTGAATTTTTTATTGTCAATCTTGTTGTTTGCTCATTGTAGTAATGCATACCATTCTTATAATATTCAAAATTAAAAATATCAAAGCGTTAAATGAGTCTTAAAAGGAATATCTATCTATATCATAGAACCTTTTAAGCTGTCAACCCCAATTAAAATTTAGCATATTTAATCAGATACAAAAAGTTTAATCTATTAAAATTTTTTTAACTTTACAGATTTTTTGATAAGATTTACAAGTGTAATAATTTAGTATAAATAGTTTTATATTAATGGTTATAGAGTGCTTATCTGATAATGTATTTGAAGTCTTAACTTATATTAATAGAAGTTATAACAAACAATTTTCTATTATTAATCATTATAACATTATTT